TATGCGAGGCAGTCTGGTTCTTGGGGTGACCATTTAACTTTAATTGCACTTGCGCATTTAACTCTGCGCCCAATTGCAGTTTTGTTTGACGGCGAAGGGGGTCCCGAGATTCACTTTGGCCCGCCAGAATTGATGGCAGAAGAGTTGCGGGGGCCTCGTGTTTCTTTAAATTCATCGCGGTGAAGTGCATTGCGAAGGCACGAGAATCGTTGTACAAGAAGACGACAAGAGGATTCCCGGGGGAACCGGCATCCCCGGACGTCTAGTGCGAAGCAGATTTGGCGACGTTGCCTATCGGCGTGAGTTGGGCGAGGCAGGGGCAGATCCCGGCGAGCGGGCATTGGTTCTCGCGCAACAGAAAGCGGGGGCGCAAACGCCGAGAATTGGATGATTCATTTGATCTCGATGCTGCTCGGGTTGACGCGAGTGATGCGCGGCTTCGATCCGCAACCAGTAGATCGAGTGATCCACCTGCGCGCGGTCTACGTGGCGCTGTTTCATATGAGTATAATATCCGCGTGTGTTGCAGGAGCGTTGCAAATGCGACGAAGCGTGGTTGACCGAATGCTAACTCGTCCGTCAGTTTCATCGCGCTGTTTCCCTTTCCGTTTCATTTTGTCTGCTTCGCGTGACATAGATTTCGCCGTCATCATCGGGTAGTTTGTGTCGCAGTTGTCGCGTTGAGTTGCTGGTGTTGCTGTCGGTATTTATGCGCGTGGGGGCGTATTTCGATTGCAAGGTTAGGTCATGTATGCATTAATGCTATTGATGCAGAAGTGGAGTTCACATCCTCCGGCTGATTCGCGGTTCTATATTTGTTTGGGCATTCTCATTTTTTATATATATATATATATATATATATGTGTCCTCCCCCCCCGGTGTTTTCCATTTTGTTGCGGTTAACGTGAATCCGTGCATGCAATCTAATAGCCGCTATTCGTTCGATTTTTTTTGGCTCGTCGGCTTTGCTCCAGCGCAGATCCGTTCCGAAGTAATATCTTGGTATTCCATGTGGCCAGCATCGACATGGAATTAACAGGTTTATTCAGTTTGACATTTTCTAGGAGTGATGCGTTTTTTTTGTTTGTTGCATTTTTGCCAACATTGAATATATCTTGTGCTGGGGCATTCTTATTCATGTGTGAGTTTGTTCTTCAGATGCATATATCTATATTCGTATTCATCATTTTTAATGCTTTTCTTTTTCCGTAAATATGAATATTATTAGCTGTCTGTGTAGAACAAGTTTCGCGCGCCTGGTGCTATTATTTCAGGTTTCATTGCCGCCGTGTCAGAGAGGTTCAGAGAACAATGCGCGTTGCATCAGGACAAATTCAGACACTGAGATGTTCAGCATCCAATTTTTCAAGACAAACGATTCGTTTTATCGCAACAGGACGCCAGTCATTCGAAGCTACATGTTTCGCACTGTAGTTATGTGACCGCGACGCGCATGTAGCAGTGACGCGGTGCGAACAACAGCAGCGCGCAAAGTTGGATACACAACCATTGCTTTTTTTTTTTTTTCCATTGCGCTTGCAGTTTAAGTTATGTAGTACACACTGATGGCACACACGCGCAATGACCAGTTCTGCATCGTTCGTGGCACATTGAATCGCTATTGCATCACGTTTTCCGGTTTTGAGGTTTAAATCATATTCGTGTTCAGTGCGCTCGTTCACAGAATGGCAGAATTCAGAAATTTGTGCGTTTGTCTGACTTTGAACCTCAAGGTCAAGCTTAACCTTGTCACGCGTTCGCCTATAAACACGATGGTTCTCTACAGGTTTTGCGGCGGTTGCGGGGGAATCGCGGTTTTTGTGCGGGGAAGAGGGGCAACGACGAAGTGCAGTTTTGCGCTCAACCGTGTGTTAGCTACCTCTGGTGCTGCTCGTACTTCTACTACAACTACTAGTACTTGTACTACTACCACTACTACTATTACTACTATTACTACTACTTCTACTACTACTACTACTACTGCTGCTACTACTACTACCACTACCACTACACTACTACTACTACTACTACTACTACTACTACTACTACTACTGACTACTACTACTACTACTACTACTACTACTACTACTACTACTACTACTACTACTACTACTACTACTACTACTACTACTACTATACTACTACTACTACTACTACTACTACTACTACTACTACTACCACTACCACTACCAACCACTACCACTACCACTACACTACCACTACCACTACCACTACCACTACCACTACTACCACTACTACTACTAACTACTACTACTATACTTCTACTACTACTACTACTACTACTACTACTACTACTACTACTTACTACTACTACTACTGACTACTACTACTACGCTACTACTACTACTACTACTACTAGTCTACTACTACTACTACTCTCTACTACTACTACTACTACTACTACTACTACTACTACTACTACTGGAACTACTACTAGAACTACTTCCATTACTACTACTACTACTTCTACTACTACTACTACTACTACTACTACTACTACTCGTTTTACTATTTCTACTGTTGCTGCGAGAGCTATCACTGCTACCACTACTACCATTACTACGACAACTACACCGAGGACCGCTAGAATTATTGCTGCAACTACTACGACTACGACAATCACTATTCGTGCTAGGACTAGTGCTAGGATTACTACTACTGCTACTACTACTACTACTACCACTACTACTACTACTACTACCACTACTACTACTACTACTACTACTACTACTACTACTACTACGACTACTACTACTACTACTACGACTACTACTACTACTACTATTACTACTACTACTACTACTACTACTACTACTATAACTACAACTACAACTACAACTACAACTACAACTACTGCTACTTATACAACGACTAGCGTCTGGTAAGGATTGGAAAAATGAATTCGCGAGTTTATACTTACTGTGTCGGTGGGCAATGCAAACAATTAACTCGCAAGTTAGTACTTGCTGTGCCGGTGTCATTAATTTACGAGTTATTTGTTCTCTCGGTGGATGCGCATACCCGAAATTAAAATTATTAACTCACGAGTTATACTTTTTAAACTCATGATTCGAGTGTTGCCGATATTTGATATAGGTACTTGCTGCTGTTTCCGCTGTTTCAAGTAGCGCGTCACATTTATTCGATAGAGAAGCACTCTCGCGACACAGTCCGGAGCGCACAACAAATGGCTTCCCTAAACACGTTACCAGGATACCCAATCTTGATTGCAGCAGGTTCTGCGACATGCGTCGAAGGAGGGGAAGAGGGGCGACGAGAGGGCCCAAGAGACGTCCAAGAGGGGTCCAAGACGGCCCAAAAGCGCTCCAAGAGAGCCCAAGACTGCTCAAGAGCGTTCCAAGATGGCCCAACATGGTTTCGAGACAGCCCAACAGGGCCTCAAGACGGCCAAGAGGCCCTCAACAGGAGTCCCACGAGGCCCTCAGGAGGTTAAACCAATTTTTCCCAAGGTTTATGAAGGGTTTCCGTGTTATGGACTGTTTATGCTTCCGACGGGCCAAGACGGCCCGTGGGCGCCCAAGGCGGCCCAGGGACGGCCCCGGGACGGCCCAAGAGGGCCTAAAGATGCCAAATGGCGTCAAGAGGGGCCTCAAGAGCCTCCTAAGAGGGCCCTAACAAGGCCCCAAGACAGCCAAAGCCTCCTGGGAACCTTGGGAGCAGGGGAGCTGTGGTCATGTGCACTCTGGCTTTCTCCCTTGGTCCACTTTCACCTTTCTGATTGTCTTGCAGCGTGCTTTCACCGACACGGAGCGTTGCCCAACATCCAGTGTGCCCATCTTGACCCCTTCGACACTCACCGCCAGTCGTGAATCTCCTCGCCAGGGAATTCGCGACTCCGAGATGGTTAACGCTCAGGGGTCAGGACGAGTCAGTCCCAGCACAGCCGACCTACAGCTTCCATCAATTTCTTGGGGCTCTCGCCGTCAGGGTGAAGCTTGTTGGGTGGATGAGCAAGGCCACCTCAACCCTTTCTCTCGGAGGGGCTCGATGTATACACCACGTCCTTTGGTCGGCCCAGGAGCCGATGACATCGGAGAAGGATTTCGGTGTCTCCACGCTCTAGCATCCCACAGGCTGGGAACTGGGGCGTTTATATTCCAGGCCCCTTGGCCGACCAGACGATTAGCTAGGGCTGTATGTTTCGAGCCCCTCCCAGCCTCCAGTCGTCCCATGCCGCGGCGCGCTCTTGCTTCCTGGGCCCGGTCGATGGCCTGCCCTCCCGCGAGCCTGCAGTATCTGTCGTCGCTGGCTCCGTGCTGCAGTGCCCAACGCCGCTGGCCCGGCCACCTCGCGCCGCGACGCCCGCCGCGACGGGCCGCAGATCGCGCTGGGCCCGGGCGAGTCCGCCTGGCGGCCCCGTCGGCCCCGCTGGCGAGTCTGCCGGACCTGCCCGGTGGCCCTGCCGAGGTCTGCCACATTGCAGCCCCGCCGCGGGGCTTCGGCGCGGTCTCTCCCCCCTGGCGGCGGGGCGCTTGCGCTGCGGCGGCCATCCCCGCTGCTGGCCAGGGCTCGCTCCCGCGCGTGGACCTCGCTTCGTACGACCCGCGATCGGGAGTCTCTCGGTGCCGCTCCGTCTGCTGGCGATACAGGGGCAATGTCCGAATCGCCGCCGCTCCCGACGGGAAGTGATAGGGGGAAGGTCCGAAGAGAGGGGATGCGTGGTGGCGGCGCCCCGGTAGGCAGGGAAAGACGCGAATGATGAGTTCGACGAACAGGATGGCGCAGGAAGGCAACGACGGTGTTGAGGCTGATGCTCATATCATGGTTGAGGTTCTCTTCGTTTCTTTGCTTGTTTGCTTGCTTGCTTGTTTGCTTGATGAGGGCGATGATGCTGACCTTGTCGTGCGGATGAGGGGGGAGGAGGAAGAGGAGATGGATGTGAGGGGGCAGCAGAGGGGGCAGGGGAAGGGCGGGCAGGTGCGGCAGCAGGAGGCCGCCGTGCCCCCCCCCCCCCTTAGCTCCACGGCCTCAAGCTGCACGTCCGCACCTACTCCGAGTCGGAGCGGGGCGCCCTCCGCGGAAAGGCCGCCCGCGTGGGACCCCGCCGCCCTCCGCGTGCCACGCGTGGGAGGGCAATGCCTGCCTGCTTCGAGACGACCCTTCTCGCGGGCCTATGCCACGTACCGTTCTGGCTCTCTAGTCACAGGCGTCTATAGGCACATTGGGTGTCGATGCGTATATGGGCGCATTTGGGGTAATTGCGTCTGTAGACCATGCGGCCGTTGCGTTCGGCGCAGTGCAGGGTCGGAGAAGGGGTAGATCCGTCTACGGTATGTTCCTGTTCTAGAGCAGGTCCCACATGAGCGGCTTCACCGATACTGGCGCGTAAGCTGCCAGCATAACGTCGCGCTTGAGCGCCCTCGTTTCCAATGTCGCGTGCCGCGCGAGCGGCCCGCGTGAGCCACCGCGTAAGGTCGCTATGCCATCTCGCGTTCCACATGGCGCTCCACGCCCCACATGGCCCTCCAGGCCCCACGGGCAGCCGCCGTTGCCGCCGCTCGGCCCGGCACGCCTCCGCCCCCCGCCCCACCTCGCCGCTCGGCCCCCTCCCGCGCTCCGCGGCGGCCCCCCTCGAGCGGAGGAGGAGCATTCCTCCTCCTCCTCCTCCTCCTCCTCCTCCTCCTCCTCCTTACAGGTGTCGGCAGGGCGGGCCGAGCGTTTCGCCGGATACCCCCTCATGCTGTTGTGATCTTTCGCCGCTCTCCCCCGCGGCCCTCGCGCCCAACGCCACGAGCATGCCCCCTCAGGGAGGGCGGCGGTGTGACAAGTCGGCGGCTCTCCGTGGTGATTTGTACTCCGCCACCCGTTGGAGGGTGTCCGTGGATTTTTGCAACAGGAGCAGGAACACCATGCGGTGGCCACCCGTTCGGTGGCCGCCTCTGGCAACCGTGCGGGAACAGTAGCAGGAGCAGGAACCATACAGGAGCAGGAGCAGCAACCGAGACCAGACCAGGAGCAGGAACCGTACACCGCCACCCGTTCGGTGGCCACCCCCGAGGCCCAGGAGCACACTCCATTGGAGGGTGTCTGGGTATGTATTTTTGTGGCGGGCCCTCGCCCCCGGCACGACCCCCTTCCGGCCCCCCCCCCTCTCCTCCACGGGCGACGGTCCGCCCCTCGCTGCTCTCCCCTGCGGCCCCTCGCCCCCGTGCCCAGCTTAGGGGGGGAGGTTCTTCCCGCTTGGGAGCTTCCGAACGAAGTGGACCCCCCCCCTCCTTAGAAATCGTGGGAAGGAAAGGTAAGGTTTCGCAGGTGGCCACCGAGGGACGCCGTGGAAGTCCCGGGCACGACCCCCTTCCGCCCCCCCCCCTCCCCTCCAGGGGCGGCGGTCCGCCCGCGCCGGGCGGGCGGCCGGTGCAGAGAGAGAGGGGCGGCCAGGGTCGCACGGGGCAGGGGCCACGACAAGGGCGGGGGCCCCCTATCCCCTTAGCAACCCCCGCGCCCATCCCAGGAGACCCCTTCCCGGGGGCCAGTTTTCCATCCCGAGACGCTCTGTGGCGGTCCGGGGGCCCAGGGAGGGCCCCCAGAAGCCGAAGGAAGGGTGCCGGAGGCCTCCCGCCGAGGTCCTGTTCACAACGAGAGGAGGTGGGGGAACAGACGGGTGAGTCGGGCCTCGTGAGCGGGCGATCCGCTGGCGCTGTCGTGACCAGCGACATGGCTTTTGGGAAGGAGCGCGTCTTGCGTGCGCGGCCGCGCGCGCCAGGTCGCCAGCGACGCGCTGCAGAGGCTGATAGGCGCACCCCCTCGGGCCTTTGGGGGGAGGGAGGGAGGGAGGGAGGGAGGGAGGGAGGGAGGGAGGGAGGGACGGAGGAAGGAGTGAAGGATGGAGGTCGTACCGATACTGCTACCCACCCCCCGTTTTCCCGTTTTTCGGCCTCCTGGGAGGCCTTCGTCGCCGCCGCTGGATTCGCTTCGAAATCCTGGTCAGAACGCACCCCGAGAGAGGTCCGGGGAGTAGCGGTATCGGTACCTCTTGGTTTCGCCAGGAGGAGGGAGGGATGGAGGAGGTGTCTATCGCTTTTGAAATGGCCCTCGCGAGGCATCTTCCTTTTTTGGAGTCTGGGGGATTGAAATTCTTTTTGGGCTTATTCTCAACTATCCTGTGGTGCTGGGTTCTCGTCTTGAAGAGACAGCGCCCCGCGTCTTCTCTCCTCCTCCCTCTCCAGCTGCCCCTGCTCCCATCCCTGCCGCTGCCCTCTGCATGCACATTTCGGAAAACCACTCATACGTTTCGTGGCCCCATGGGGGGCTCCACCGAATGGCATCGCCCGCATGGCGCCGCCGCCGCCGCATTTTGGCACACTCCTAACACGTTTCGTGGCCCCACAGGGAGCTTCACCGAAGGCCCAAGCGGCAGCGCCCGTGTGGCGCAGCCGCCGCATGTTGGCACACCCCTCACACGTTTCGTGGCCCCATCGGGAGCTCCACCGAAAGCACAAGCGGCAGCGCCCGCATGGCGTCGCCCCTGTCATCACACCCCTCCATCGTTTCGTGGCCCTGTAGGGAGCTCCACAAAATGCACAAATGGCAGCGCCCGCATGGCGCCGCCGCCGCATTGTGGCACACCCCTCACACGCTTCGTGGCCCGATAGGGAGCTCCACCGAAGGCTCAAATGGCAGCGCCCGCATGGCGCCGCCGCCTCATTTTGGCACAGCCCGCACACGTTTTGTGGCCCCATAGGGAGCTCCACCGAAGGTCCAAATGGCAGCGCCCGCATGGCGCCGCCGCCTCATTTTGGCACAGCCCGCACACGTTTTGTGGCCCCATAGGGAGCTCCACCGAATGTCCAAATGACAGCGCCCGCATGGCGCCGCCGCCCCATTTTGGCGCAACCCCTCAAACGCTTCGTGGCCCCACAGGGAGCTCCACCGAAGGCCCCAGCGGCAGCGTCCGCATGGCGCCCTTTCTTCGATTCCAGCATACCCTCACGCGTTTCGCAGCCCCGTATGGGGGCCCCACCGAAGACCCAAGTGGCAGACCCTGCCCGGCCCCCAAACGCCACCCCGCCCGTCTCGGTCATCCCTCACGCGCCTCGTGGCCCCATATGGAGTCCCGCCCTTCTTCCCACCTGCCCTGCGGCAATCACACCTGCCCATGGTTTGGGTCCTTCGCCTGGATTTTTTTCTGAAAATGTTCGGGCGGTTGTCTTTCGATGGGCCCCTTCCTGCAAGGAAAGTGCATTCTTGCAGGAACCTGTGAAGACGGAACTTGGAGGGATGCTTTGTTGCAACGTCGTTGGCGCGCCTTGGGTTTACACTGGTCCTCCTCCTCCCTCCTCCTCCCTCATCCTCCTCCCTGCTCCTCCTCCCTCCTCCTCCTCCTCCCTCCGCCTGCTGTTACTCATGCTGCTCCCACTCCTATTCACGCTCCCGCTCCCGCTCGATCCGCCTGGCGCCGCCGTCGCAGCGTACACTCCGCCCATCGTCCCACCCCTCGGGCAGCAACAAAACTTGCGTTCCCTGTGATTGCAAAGGCCTTGCGGCTGGTGCTGCCGACCCTGAAGACGACGACGAAGACGATGAAGACGACGACGAGACGAGGAGGACGACCGACGACGACGAGGCCTTTATTTGCCCAGCCCAGCGTCTCGGCGCGAACGGCCGAACGACCTGTCTTTCAAGGCACGTTGCTGGCACGGTTAGTTGCCTCAGAAGTGCATGCTTAGACGCGCTGCTTGCCGTGCGATGTCAAGGCTTGCTCGCTTTTCCTTACCTGCCGGAACTACCTGTCAGGCGCACCCCCGAGAGATGCGGGCCTTCCAGACCCCCGACGTCATGATATTTTTCATAACGTCGACCGCCAGAGGTCTCGACCCATTCCCAGGGACCAGTTTTTTTTTTTTTTTTTTTCTTGGACGGTCCCGAGGCCCGGCAAGGGTCCCCGGAGTTGGAAAATTGGCAAACATCTCGCGGCGTGACCCGGTACTTACGGGGTCTGGGCCCGTGGCCTGCTAGCATCCGGGCCACCCCCCCCGCTGGCAGCAGGCGGCGATTGGTCGGCGAGGCCCGGCGACCTGGAGGCGGAGCGGCAGAAGGCCGCCGGGGCTCCGGAGGGCCGGCGGATTATGATGATGATGGTGATGATGATGATGATGATGATGATGATGATGATGATGATGATGGTGATGATAATGATGCTGATGATGATGCTGATGGTGATGCTGATGCTGATGATGATGCTTATGCTGATGATGGTGATGATGATGATGCTGATGCTGATGCTGATGCTGATGATGATGATGGTGATGATGATGGTGATGATGATACTGATGCTGATGATGATGATGATGATGATGATGGTGATGATGATGATGATGATGGTGATGGTGATGATGATGCTGATGATGGTGCTGCTGATGATGATGATGCTGATGATGATGCTGCTGCTGATGATGATGATGTTGATGATGATCAGGATGAGGAGGAGGAGGGGGAGGAGGAGGAGGAGGGAGATGAGGAGGAGGAGGAGGAGGAGGAGGGAGATGAGGAGGAGGATGAGGAAGAGAAGGAGGAGGAGAAGGAGGAGGATGAGGGACATGATGGTGGTGATGATGATGATGCTGATGGTGATGGTGATGGTGATGATGATGCTGATGCTGATGCTGCTGATGATGATGATGATGGGATGAGAGATGATGATGATGATGATCATGATGATGATGATGATGTGATGATGATGATGATGATGATGATGCTGATGCTGATGCTGATGATGATATGATGATGATGGACGATAGTGATGCTGATGCTGATGCTGATGCTGATGATGTGATGCTGATGCTGATGATCAGGATGAGGAGGAGGAGGAGGAGGAGGGAGATGAGGAGGAGGAGGAGGAAGAGAAGGAAGAGGAGGATGATGATGATGATGATGATGAGGAGGAGGAGGCGGAGGATGGGCATGGTGTGATGATGCTGATGCTGATGGCTGCTGATGATGATGATGATGATTGATGATGATGGTGGTGGTGATGATGCTGATTATGATGATGTTGATGCTGAGATGATGATGATGATGATGATGATGATGATGATGATGATGATGATGATGATGATGATGATGATGATGATGATGATGATGATGGGATGATGATGATGATGATGATGATGATGATGATGATGATCAGGATGAGGAGGAGGCGGAGGAGGAGAGGAAGAAGGAGGAGGAGGAAAAGGAAAAAGATGATGAGGAGGAGGAAGAGGAGGAGGAGGAGGAGGAGGAGGAGGAGGAGGAGGAGGAGGAGGGACATGATAATGATGATGGTGATGCTGATACTGCTGATGATGATGCTGCTGATGCTGATGATGATGATGATGATGATGATGATGGTGGTGATGATGGTGGTGATGATGATGATGGTGATGCTGATGATGATGATGATGATGATGATGATGATGATGCTGATGATGATGATGATGATGATGATGATGCTGATGATGGTGATGGTGATGATGATGATGATGATGATGATTAGGATGATGCTGGTGATCATGATGATGGTGATGGTTGTGATGTTGGTGGTGATGATGATGTTGATGATGCTGCTGCTGATGTTGATGATGATACTGATGGTGATAGTGATGATGATGCTGATGATGATGTTGATGCTGATGCTGCTGATGATGATGACGATGATGATGATGATGATGTTGATGATGATGATGATGATGATGCTGATGATGATGATGATGATGATGATGATGATGATGATGATGATGATGATGATGACGATGATGATGATGCCAGGCGCCCTGGCGGATGGTGCCTCTGGCACTGGAGACAGCTGGCCGTCACGGCCAGGCGGCTGTCCAGCACATCCGCGGCATCGCCCGGGAGCTTGCGACGCTGCTGGCAGCGGGCGACGAGGCCGAGGCGGAGGGCCTGGCCGGACAGCTGGTGGCTCGGTGGGGGCGGGAGCTCAGTGTAGCGCCCCACCGGGCCACAGCCCGACAGCTGCGCTCCGCCAGGGGCGCGGGCGGCGCCAGGCTGGCAGCTGAACTGCGGGCTGCTGCGGCGGCCTGATTGCGCGGGGGACGCTTCACGTCGTGATGCTACCGAAGTTCAGGGGGTACAGTAGCGTGTGTTGCGCAGATGTTGCTGGGCAGTGTCAGGAGGAGGAGGAGGAGGAGGAGGAGGAGGAGGAGGAGGAGGAGGAGGAGGAGGAGGAGGAGGAGGAGGAGGAGGAGGAGGAGGAGGAGGAGGAGGAGGAGGAGGAGGAGGAGGAGGAGGAGGGAGGAGGAGGAGGAGGAGGAGGAGGAAGGTTGGAGAAAGGGAGGGGGAAGGAGATCAACTGCTATGCGCTGGGGTAACTGACTTCCCACATTCTAATGGGCTGACCACCTAGCAAAGCGAGACCTGACCTTCCTTCCAAGAGGGATGAAAAGACCAAGACTGCCCACCCAACCTTTCCCCTCACAGCCAAGAGCATCCCCTGGGCGCCAACGTGCAGGTTCGGGCTTTCAGGCATGGCATTGCCATGGCACGACCCGCCAGGAGAGGGCAGAGTTTTGCAACCGAGCCCTGGCTGCCAATTCCATGCACTGTCTGGTGGGGGAGAAGGGGATAAACTGGGCTGAAGAGGAGGAGGGAGGACTGGAAGGATTCAGGCTGCAAGACTTCGCTTGCCTGCCTGCTGGCCTACAGGATTACTTGTGCGTTGTTTGCTAGGAAAATATGCACACGACGCTGTAAAGCTCACCCTCACAGAAGTATGAATGATCCCTGAAATGACATGCAACTGCACATCCTAGTGCTTGCGCGTAGCGAGGGGCCTGGACAACATTTGACAATAATGGCTATACGCTGCGCGTTCTAGCGCCTGCGGCCGTCACGATGACGAGGGTGAGCTGAGGGAAGCCATGCTTGGCTAAGTGTGCCTGATTCGATTGCATGCTAGCGAATTCTTTCGGTGCTGCCAGCAAGATGTCTTAGAAATGATATTCGACATGGAAAAGTCCACATCAAAAGCGCAGATACGACCGCATTGAGAAGAATATGTCGTGACCATTGATAGCTCACGCCAAATGGCCTTCTAGCCAAGCTGATGTGCTCCGTAGCCTGAGGTCATTTCCCAAAACGTGCTCACTACTTTCAATGCTAGGCATTGACTTGAGGGACTCTTCCCTCATTTTGCTGTCTCTGCCGGCTTGCTGTTCTGAGCTGGATCTTTCGAGCCCCTGGTCTGCTTGAGCCTGTTGAACTCGTCCCTAGCATTGTCGAGCTGCTCTGCCAACGATTTGATGCGAGCCTCCTGTAAATTCTGCTTGAGTTCTTCCATTCTGGATAACGAACGATCGCCTTCGCTGGCTACCTCTGGATGGGCTTCGGACTCTGAGCTAGAGTCCTTGCGTTTGCGCTCCGATTGGGACACGGGCATTCTGTGATCTGACGGCCTCCTAGCCTTCTCCCTCTTTGATTTTTGTGAGCCTTCCTAATCTTACGAATGGTTCTGTCCTTAA